TTGTAAGGTAGTTGGTGATGGTGCGGGTTGTAAGGTAGTTGGTGATGGTGTGGGTTGTAAGGTAGTTGGTGATGGTGTGGGCTGTAAGGTAGTTGGTGATGGTGCGGGTTGTAAGGTAGTTGATGGTGTGGGTTGTAAGGTAGTTGGTGATGGTGCGGGTTGTAAGGTAGTTGGTGATGGTGTGGGTTGTAAGGTAGTTGGTGATGGTGTGGGCTGTAAGGTAGTTGGTGATGGTGCGGGTTGTAAGGTAGTTGATGGTGTGGGTTGTAAGGTAGTTGGTGATGGTGCGGGTTGTAAGGTAGTTGGTGATGGTGTGGGTTGTAAGGTAGTTGGTGATGGTGTGGGCTGTAAGGTAGTTTGTGATGCTTTGCTGGTTGATTTTTGAACGCTTGATATCTGTGTTTGTATTGAGGATTCTATTGAAATCATGAAAACAATTCGATCAGAGTTATCGCAGTGCTGATAACGAAAAAGATGAGGTCCCTAATTGTTTTCACTGATCAAAAAGTTTTCGTAATTCTTTGCTGTCCGTACTACTGGGGTGTCGTTCGTAATATAGGGGTTTGCTACTTTGTCCATACTAATTGGTATTACATGTGTAAAGGAGTCCGTTGTAAGATGTGCTCGTAATATAAGAAGTTCAGTACTGCAGAGGTGTCCGTAATATAAAGGTTTTGGTACTTAGTCAATACTATAGATGTGAACGCAAAATAGAGGTGTCTGTGATCTGAAATGGTCCACTTTCGATATATGGTTAAATAATCACGTGCAGAGTGACTGAAGACGAGGCTCAAGTGAAAGAAAAGGATTGTCGAGAGAGCCTCGTTTTCAGTTCTTTTATTCACTAGTCATTTGAAACCCCCGCCCCCCGACCCCCGGGGAATACCGGGGAATTTAACGGTTGAGGTGTGTTAAAATAAGACATTTGCCCCGGTAAACGGGACACATTCATTGTTAAAATCCCCGCTACTGTTTCCCCTCTATTTTGATCTAGTACTAAATAACAAAACAAACACCTTCAACCAAATTTTCTGTGATACACAGGGTTAATTTTTGTATAATCATCTGTACTCGTTTGCGTACTACATGAGGTTTACTGGACAGAGAAAAACATTGTGCAATAAGTTTCTTTTAAATTTTTATGCAAGGAAAAATATATAAAAGAGCGTTAAAATCCCCGCTCTTTGCCCCGCTTCGAAAACAATTCATCAAAAATCCCGACCCCCCAGGGCAATGTTGCTGTTAAAAGCACGTTAAAAACGCGTCACGTCCCCGTTCAGTGCCCCGCCAGCCCCGGGGGTCGGGGGTCGGGGATTTCTATTGACTAGTGCATTATGCGTGTCGAAAAGAGGATATTAATCAGAAGCTACCTCTCATGTTTTGGAGAAGTTACTTTGTAAATATTGAAGTACCTGCAGTCTTTCCACACACAAACTTTTCCTTGTGGTCACATTTCTTTCCCTGATACTTGAAGCTCTTGCCCGTTTTTTGAATCGTACAACATTTCTTATTATCTTTACTAGTAATACCACATGTAAAGTTGTTTGCAGATTTMTCAGCCCATTGGAGAGAACCGCTTAATTCTCTAAATCCTATCCAAAAATGCCCGCCWTTAGGGAGTTGATCTTGCAATTCTCTTCGCTTGTCTTCTGTGTTCACAACTGCAAGAAGTCCGCCTTTTTCTTTGCAGAAATCGTTGGCGTCGGTCCATTCCTTTTTATCATTTTTACCGTCGTAAATTGTGAAAGTTACTGCATATGCGTTCTTGATCAGCTGAATATCTGGCCAAAAAAGTTTAAAATTTAAACATTACATCCATTGCAATTCAAGAATTAATGCACATTTTGAGATGAAACGAAAAATGAGAAGAGTTATTTTAACAAGAAAACGAACAAACGACGAATAAAGTTCATTAATTTTGATCGATGTACCAWACTCAATGCAATTTTACTCCAATCTTTTGTTTCTGCTTGGCATGATCTTCTAATTATAAATTGACTTACGAGACAGAACTGTTCGAAACTATTGTCTTCTATTGTCGTTCCATCCAAAAYAACATCAACAAAAATTTTCAGCAAATAAAAAMA